GTACTCAGCTCTACTATAAAACTAATTTATAGCTTTCATAAGAAAGCTATAACCCAGTTTTAGCCTAGGAACATGGGGAGAGGGGAGAGGGAGCGGAAGGGAGTGGGGAGGATGGGGGAGGGAGGGTGATTGGTGGGATCACACCTATGGTTCATCCTATAAGGTTACACGTGAATATCTCTAAATGTAGAATGTAAATGTCTTAACACAGTAACTAAGAAAAAGACATGAAGGCTATATTAACCAGTTGGATGAAAGTACTTCAAATTGTATACAGAAACAGTACACTGTACTCCATGATAGTATTAATGTACACTGCTATGATTTAATAAAAAAAAAATGTGAGGAAGTATTCTCTTTTTTGGACATAGAAAATAAGTTGAATTCTACGATATTACACAGAGGTAAAATATTTTCTAAATAAGAAAGAATCAAAATCACATAAGTGAAAAAATGGTCTTTTTGAATTTGAAGTTTAAGCCCATTATAAAGATTATATATGTGAAAAAGTGAGATCACATTAAGTAGAACAAAAAAGTGAAAACATTATAGCTGTAATTGTGTAAAAATATGCACAGTTTGTATGTAAGATGTCCAAGGTCTGACAATCATGCTTCTGAAGTCATCCCATGGAAAGTACTATGTGTCTCAGTGCTAAATGTCCCTGCAGTCACCAGATGGCCAGGAGAAGTACTTCAAAGGTGACCATAGTGATCTTCATCAATGAGGGATGGACTGCTTTCTCTAGGATGAGTTGGTGAACTTAATTGTCTGACCTCATAGGCTGAATTTTTTACCTAAGATGTTTCATTTATAGACATGTTTATGAAATTACTTAATAAATATTTAACTGCCTATCATATGCCAGAAACTATGTTAAGCCCCCAATTTGCAAGATAAAAAATAACTCCTGTCCTCAAAGCATTCCCAGGTTGTTTATATCTATATGGTTAAAATGTTAAAAATGTGTAAGTAAAGATCATAAAGTTAGGACAGCTTTGGTTACAAACAGCCTAAGAGGTACAGTCAAATTAGAGTCCACTCACCTTTCATGAAACACACTTAGAAGAGGAATTTTTTTTTTTATGATTTCATGAAGTCCTACCATGTTCATTAGTTCACATAACGTCTTTTTTTAAATTAAATCATAGCTGTGTACATCAATGCAGTCATGGGGTACAATGTGCTGGTTTTATATACAATTTGAAATATTTTCATCAAAATGGTTGTTTTTTAAAAGAAATATATAAAAGATTTAAAAACAAAAGTACTTTAAATTTGTTAATCAACAGACTGAATTTAAAAAATGTATTTGTAATCTTTCAAGTTCCCCTGATTCCAAAAGTTAATGAACATTCATTGCTCCTCATATTCCAGGTCTCTTCATAGTTTCTAATCCTGTTAACTGCTCCTACCTGGGCTTTCTCCACCCTTCTCTTGCTTTTTCATCTATGTTTCTGGCCAATCCTTTCTTCTCAATAACTTCTATCAGATCTTTCTCTTTATACCAATTCCCAAAAATCTCAGGCCCAGGCAGAATTCTGCTCTTAATCATTAACTTAACTCTGACAATTAAGTATCTGAAGTCTGAAATTTCAAAGATCCAATACAATCTTCTAGGTTTATTCAACAAGATCCAGTTATCCGTGACGTGAAGTAGCTGTGATATGTGAAACGTTCATTCATAGCCATGGTTTCAACCATCTCTTTTTTTTTTTTTTTTTTTTGAGACAGAGCCTCAAGCTGTCCCCCTGGGTAGAGTGCCATGGCATCACGCTCACAGCAACCTCCAACTCCTGGGCTCAAGAGAGTCTCCTGCCTCCGCCTCCCAAGTAGCTGGGACCACAGGCGCCCACCACAACACCCGGCTATTTTTTGGTTGCAGCCATTATTGTTGTTTGGCGGGTCCGGGCTGGGGATTCCAACCCGCCACCTTAGGTGTACGTGGCTGGTGCCTTAGCCAGTTGAGCTATAGGCGCCGAGCCTCAACCATCTCTTACATCCTAACAACTCCCAAATATTTTTCTGTCTTGAATGGCCAGGTCATATACCAACACTTTATTGGATCTCTCCTCCATGGTGACCCTGATGCATTTCAAATTCTATACAGCACAGACTAATTTCCACCACACTTCTCTCTCTCACCCTTTTCAAGATCTATTCCCCATTCTTGTTGAAGGCATTACCATCCACTCCATTACCCAGGACCCAATCCTGGGTACTAGCATCTCTTTACCTAGACCCACCTTCTTCCTGACCTCTTGCAATCAATCACCAAATCTAACAATTGCTTCTTTTTTTTTAATTGAACTGTTTTATTTTTAGATGATCAAAATTATATATATATATATATATATGTATATGTATATATAGCTTCAGGCAGAACTTTTGTTTGTTTTAATAATAGAGTGGGGGGGGGTTTCTTTCAAAAACCATATGAATGCTTTGTGTGGTACATGAGCAGAGTGAAAGTGTTTGCCTAACAATTGCTTCTTAAATCTCTAGTAGATTTATCCACTCGTGTCTATCCCCACTGAGAGAGTCTTGGTTCAGAACCTCTTCCTTCCTTGGATTTCCCCAGCAGCCATCTAACTCATCTCTCTACTTTCTATTTACTCCACTAATAACAGATCATCTTACTTCTACAGCGAAATTTTGGGTGGCTCCATGTTGCCATCAGTATATATGCCATGTCCTTAACCTGGGAAAAACACAAGTTCTTTCCAATCTGGGGCTGCCTACCTGCTCAACTTCCTTATCTCTCCCTCCCAATTTAAAGGCCAGCTAAGGGTTTTCTCCTATCTCCATACCTTTATGCATGGTGGTCCACATGCCAAAGCACCCTTCCCTTGCTATCAGAGGCAGTGCTCACCACATGGGGCCTTTGTGCCAGTAAAGAGGAGGCACTGCACCTGAGCAGAGGCTGCAGTGCTGGCCAGCCAGGAAGGTGAACAGCACTTTCAAGCACAGTGCTGAAATGAAGCCCTCCTGCTAAGCAGAATGCAAACTTGATGTTGGCCCCACTTGTCACTCCTCCCATACACCCTTCCTGGCAGCCCTGCTGTGCAGTGTCATCTGCTCCCTAACGCACAGGCCTCTATCTCTAATATGAGTTAAATGCCTTCTAACATGCTCCCACAGCTCTTTATTTTTTATTTTTATTTTTTGAGACAGAGTCTCACTCTGTCACCCTGGGTAGAGTCCCATAGCATCATAGCTCACAGCAACCTCAAACTCCTGGGCTCAAGCAATCCTCTTGCCTCAGCCTCCCAAGTAGCTGGGACTACAGGTGCCTGCCACAATGCCCAACTAGTTTTTCTATTTTTAATACAGACAGGGTTTCTTTCTTGTTCAGGCTGGTCTTGAACTCCTGAGCTCAGGCAATCCACCTACCTTGGCCTTCCAGAGTAGGAATACAGGCATGAGACACCATGACTGGCCCAAAGTTTTGTCTAGTTGGCTGTTTTATGTTTTTCTCATATGTAAAATCTGCACATATGGGAAACCACCGCTTTAAAATGAAGACTAACTCTCCATCACTAACTTGAACATAGCCAAAAGGCCAAAAAGCAATGAGGCTAACTCTAATCCTTATGTCTCTAGAGTCCAGTACAGAATAGTCTCTCCATATTGAATGGTTGAATTTATCCTATATTGTTCAAAATACAACAAGTATTTTAGACAGAATCGTTTAGGTTCTTTTAATTGTTCATCTTATCTTTTTTAAGTAAATGTACATGGCCACACAATGGAACAAACAAACAAGATCTTAAAGATCAGACAAACCCACCCTTGGACACACCACACTGTGATCCAAGTCTGTCAGGAATGTACATTAGGTCTGGATATTCTGAGGTACATACTAACCCAAGCTATCTTCTAGAACATAAGGAATGGTATGAGGCCATCTATAATTTTCTCCAATGATGGAATTTCTCACTTGTACCTGTCAAAAATAAATGCAAAAGAGCTAGTTAAATGAAGTAAGCAAAAACTTATGAAACAATAAGTTTCTAATAGTCAATCTAGAAATAAATAATTTAAAGCTCTCCCATCAAGCCCAAACAAATGGTGTGTATATATGTGTGTATCTCTACTTTTATCCTACTACATATACAGCAAAGTTTCTAAGTATCATATAAAAAAATTGTTGGAAAACTGAACTATAAATGTAGATAGATGTATTAAAAATATGTAAGAAGCAAGTGATAACAATAACCTCAATAATCTGAACCTCAAAATATCAGAAAAAGTCACATATGAGCAGGAACAAAGTTTTCAAAACTTTTTAAAAGGTTTTAAATTTTATAATAGAAAAGAACAATATTTTATTAGGGTATTAATTCAGTCAACAAATGGAATATTGGGCCCCTTGGCTCAGGCCTGTAATCCCAGCACTCTGAGAGCCTGAGGCAGGTGGATTGCTTGAGTTCAGGAGTTTGAGACCAGCCAGAGCCAGGGAGCGAGACCTTGTCTCTAAAAATAGACAGACATTGTGGCAGGTGCCTGTGGTCCCAGCTACTTGGAAAGATGAGGCAAGAGAATTGCTTGAGCCCAAGAGTTTGAGGTTGCTGTGAGCTAGGACGCCACAGCACTCTACCAGGGGGGAGACAAAGTGAGACTCTACCTCAAAAAAATAAAAAAAGAAAAATGAAATATCGTTCTAGAAAATGGAGATCCCTTCATCACAAAACTACCAAGGTCTCTACCTTCTTAGAACTGATATCTAATGGGGGGAAGGGGCAGACAGTATGCAAGAGAACAAATAAGTTGAAATAGGATTAATGTAATAGTTGTGGAGGAAATGAAAAAGGGATGCAGACAGAAATAAAGGGATAGGGAATAAAGTGGTCAAGAGAGGCCTCTCTGAAGGGATGGCACTGAAAGGGAAATGGGAAAAGGTCAAGGTCAAGAGGGGCCCAGAAAAGTGGTTTCAGCAGAGGGAAGAGAAGTTACTCTGGTTCTAAGGAGGGAATGTGCTTGGTATGTTTTGTGTTTGCCTCAGTTAGAAGAGCAAATGGATGAGAGTAAACGGGAGGAGAGGAAGGCAGTTCAAGTCACGAAGGGCCTTGAGCGCTGGGGCTAAATCTGGAGGAGATTCTAAACCCAATAGGAAGCTGCAGAAGAGTTTCAAGTTGGGAGGTGAAGTGGTGTGATTGTGTGCTTAAAAGGTGACTTTGTTATCGGGGATGAAGGCAGGTACAGGGTGAAAAGATGACAGGAGGACAATATTTGAAACAGAACAACAAATCAGGAGACTAAAGGGAAAAGTCAGGCAAGAGATGATGAGAATTGAATTAAGGTGATGGGAAAAAGTGGATGGTTTGGGGCATATGCTAGAGACAGAAATGGCAGATTGGATGGGGAGTGAGGGAATGGCAAAAGCAAAAGAGAGTCCAAAAGATTTTATTTATCCAGTGGAGAGAGGGAGAGGGATTTTATTTATCCAGTGGAGGACTTTACAAAGGGGGGAAGCATGGAAGAGGAATGGTTTGGGGTGAAGATCATAGTTCGCCTGATACAAGGACACCTTAGATTTGGGATGTCTAATAGACATTCAAATAGAGCTGACTAATGGGCACATGGATAGACCAGTCTGGAGAGCAGGGGAAAGGCAGGCCTAGAGCTCTACCTTTAGAGTCACTGGCCTACAGATGCATTTGAAGGCCTGGCCCAAGCTGAGATGGAGAGGAAGACAGTGCACACTGCAGACCCAGGAGACTGAGCCTTGGACACTGCAGCTCTGTTCACTGATGGGAAGCTCTCAGCGGGGGTGTGAGGGATGTCAGTGCTTACCACACAGGAAGTAAGGGAGTGACTCAGGAATGTGTCTGAGGGAAGAGCAGAATTGTGCAGGAAAAGGTGTAGTGGAGAATTTCTAAGTCAAAGAGTATATGTATTTTAAATTAGATGGATCTTATCAAATTGTCTTCTCTTCTTCTGTTTTATACACTAATAACATACTACAAACACTGTTTTTTTTCTTTTTGAGACAGAGTCTTGTTCTGTTTCACTGGCTAGAGAGCAGTGGTGTCATCATAGCTCACAGCAACCTCAAATTCCTACACTCAAATGATCCTCCTGCCTCAGCCTCCCGAGTTGCTGAGATAACAGGCATGCTCTGCCACACCTGGCTAATTTTTCCATTTTTTGTAGAGATAGAGTCTTGTTCTTGCTCAGACTGGTCTCAAACTCCTAAGCTCAAGGGATCCTCCTGCCTCTGCTTCTCAGAGTGCTAGTGTAATTTGCCCTTTATAATAATATATTTTCTCAAATTTTAATATCAGGTGTATCCATGATTTTGAAGTATTTCTTTTTCTATTGTTTATAAGATTTGGCATGATGTGTTTTTTTGAAATTATCTGTTACTTTCATTTATAAACATTAGTTGTCTTATTTTTTGAGACTTTGGAAAAAAACAAAATAAGAAGAAGTTAACTGATCAAAGTATTCTATAATAGACATACTCCTATCTGACAATGTGAACGTTACTCTCTTTGCATCATTACTATTATTATTGCTTAATATTTTCTTGAAGCAATCATCTGATTTCTTCTCTGAATGTATTTACCTTCATTCGTTCTTTATGAGGTTTTTGTTCTCAGTCCTTATGTTAAATATTGTTATTATCATTAAATTTAGCCTTTTTAATTCTGTAAAGGCAAAAGTGGAAACCTATAATACACATGTGTAGGTAAGAAAAATTAATTTAAAAAAAGAGTGCTAGAATTACAGGCATGAGCCACCATACTTAGCCTTTAAACACATTCTAGATGCTTGATTAAGCATCTAGTTTCTATCCTCACCAAAAAGGTATAGTAAGTTTTGAAATCTTTTTAAATCTGATATACAATAAATTACACCTTATCTTTAAATTTATGATGACAACCTCTTAAGTTTCTCTAAATGTACACGTAAGTTACCGACATTCCCTTGTGGGTCAGGATGCTTAGATAAGAATCAGTAGTGTTTATGAATAAGTTTGGGAAGACCTCTATTTGGCAATAATCTTCTTAGCTGAGGTCAGTGTAGAAGTCACAAAATCTATTTCTTGTAGTAAAAAGTATGATTCCTTGAAGACATTCACAAATTCAGTTTAGTTTTAGTTCAATTAGATTGAATCTGTGAAGTTCTATTTTAAAATAAAAATGTCACATTGCTCCAATAATAAAAATGAATCAGATCAATAAGATTAAGACATATGTGATGAGTTACAGTAGCTTTGACCACACAAAAATCTGGGTAATGAAATATGTTATATGCATCCCTTCAAGTACAACATATTCGTTGAATAAATATGTCACCATGATTCTGAGCCCTTAGAGATGGTTGGGCTTCACAAAACCCATGCTGCCCAATAATCATCAGTTACTCTGTATCTTGCAGTGATTAATAAAGGTCATTTCTTGCACAGTTTCAACTCACCCCATCAAGTCTGATATCTCCCTCAAAAAGATCTAGTCCCAAATCTAAGAGTAAAGATCAAGATTCATGTTAGCATGTTATATTCAAATTCTCCACGTAAGATGATGTTTTTAAAAAACTCCACAAACCTTCATTGATATCAAATATATCCCGGTCAATTCCACCATCTATGTCTTTGACTAAAATAACAAAGAAGAAAACACATTGCACATTACTTTTTTAAAAGGAGAAAATCTTTACATAATCAGAACTAAGCAAGTTTACTTTGCCTTGACTAAATAACTACTAGATTCTGATTCAACATACATCAACTGATTGAGAACTTCCCAGGAGCCAGTTTAGAAGTTAAAGGACTTTTGCATGTGTACTCTGTCATTCCTTGAATGTCAAATGACTTCAGAAATAAAAACTTGGTCGCGCCGTATGTTTTTGAGCTTGATTTGGAAGACTAGACTAGGTGACTAGATTAAACAGGAAATACATGTTTCAGTTTGGTCAAATCAGCCCCATCTGCCACATGTGTATATGACTTGTTAGTTGTATATCTTGGAACTCACATGCAAAATTCTTAAGTGGAATTTGAATGATGCTTGTAAGTGGCAAAGGGATAGATGACATAACCATATCTCCAAGGCTGCAACTGAGTAGCAGTGGTCTGCGTTATCAGAAAAATAGAAAAAGCAATAATAGCAAGGATTTATTGGATATCTATGTTTTCGTCACTGCCTTTGGCTTTTCCTATACAACCAGCTATTTTTTCTTTTTTTCTTTCTTTTTTTTTTTTTTTTTTTTTTGCATTATTTTTGGCTGGGGCTGGGTTTAAACCTGCCACTTCCAGGATATGGGACCAGCGCCCTACCCTTTTGAACCACAGGCGCCACCCCCAGCTAGTTTTCTGTTGGGCATATAGACATTGGAACATGGCAATAAAATGTCCTCCAATAAATCAAAAGAATCTAATGTTAGCTCAAAGTTCAATGCTTATGCATCAATTGTGCACATATAATTATATTATTCTTGTCATTAAACATATCCTAGGCTCTCTATGACCCAGAACAAAACCCTACAAAGTAGACTCACCGAAGTTGTCTGGAGTTGGCTGGGGAAAAAAAAAACACATTAAAGAAAATACATTATTATGACGCCCAAGGTATAAATGGTCTTCTTGGTTTCAATTTAGGTCCATTTGTTGTTTGTTTACTTTTTCATTAACATTATGGATTACTTTCCAGCACATGTTCAAGACAGCTAAATTGAAGTCGAAGATGACTTTTCCACCAAAGGGTCTTCTCATTTCATGTCGAAAACGAAACTGCTTATTAAGTGATTTGAAAGTAAAGCAAAAAAAAAGGCAGAATGTATGACTCTACCCTCAAATAAGTGTTCACTTTCTACATTATTTTTTTAAAGAGTTCGTTGAACAATATTTGAAAGATCTAATATAATTAAAACAAAGCATGGGGGGGTAAAAAAGACCTGATAATTTATCCCCAATGTTGAAATATTATTATAATTTACAACAATCCTTAAAAAATAAATTTTATTAGAGATCTCTCATTAATCAGACTTTACTTTCATATTTCTCTCAAATTCTGTCTTCAAAGATAAAACCAAATATTCAAGAAAACCAGGTAAATTTTGTGATTAAAATTTTTCCCCCCAAAAAATAGCTTCTTCACAAACGACCAATGAAACTCTGATATGCCCAATCAGAAAAAACACGTAAAGCTGAGAAATATTTTAGTTGATGTAATCTAGTAAAAAAGCACATGAACTAAGTGGGTTGTTACTGGTCCATCATCTAAGAATAATTCGGTTCACCTTTCAGGCACTGTCAAATATGTCACTACATGCTTCGCTGTTGCGACAGTTACATAACATGATTCGAAAGTACTTTGTGAACTATAATACACTGTCACAAAGTGTAAAGTATGATTTTATTCAATACAGCTTACATATTTAAATACTGGAATCATTTGAAGTTGATTTGTACAAAAGGTGGGAATGAAATAACTGGTTGGTTATCATCCTTTTTGTGTTAATAAGTGCCTTGGTTGTCCCACATTCTAACCACACAGAGGCACACACTCACAGAGGACGCCGGGGCACCTACAGAATACAGTTAGCAAGAATCTGTTCCTAATTGCAATTTTAACACATATTAATCAGTATCTCTTGCTCAGAATGTTCTAGTTCCTACTCATAGAATATTAGTTTGATGTCACTAATCAAACTATCTTAAAATCACAAATTTGCAACTTCACTTAAACCTTAGGTTGGTTTGTGGTACAAAGTACCTATTAAAAACCATGAGTCCAAATTATAGAAAGATTATTCTAACTTGCTGAAGAAGCAGAAGGGAAATCCCACATTACCAAACTTTGCAATATTGACTCTGCCTGTGACCTTCCTTCACATCTCAAGTTCCTGTGGCAGCAATCTGCATTTCATTCAGCTATAAAAATGAAATGATTTTCAAAATTCCCATTTTCTAGCCTATCAAAAGAAAACTTGTTACCCAACAATAAAACTGAAAGAAAGACATAACCTATGTCAACATCTCTGTTTCTCTCTCTGGTGGGGCTACTTTCCATACCCTCCCTGCCTCCTCTCCAAGAAGAAAAACTGATTTGAGATTAACGTTTTGAAATTTATATTTAAAAAGAACAAATAATTGTCCTTTAACAATCAGTATCAATGGCCCCCAATTTTTCTAATTGTTTTCTTACCAAGCCAGAAATCACAAGAAGAGTGTTAAAGAACAGAAACCAAGACAGATGATGCCGTGAATCCATGTTGTACTGTCCAGGTGAAAGTTGCAAACTATGACATTCAGCGTGGAGTTGACTTTTTAAAAAGCAAACATTATAACTTTTATAGCCTTTGATCTCAGTGATCCATCCTGCACGTCAGCTCTCTGCTGTAGTATTACCTCTAATCAAGGAGTTAAAGTCCAGTATCCTTAACACAGCCCTGAGTAGTTGGTTTATCACTGTTTCTTTTTTTCCCCTGTGTCAACATTCAACAGTTAAATGCCTCACTGGGACTTGCTAATGAAATACATTCTTTAATGTATATATACTGGTCCCCCAAGACTATTAAATACCATTTGAGCAAAAGAAAATATCAAATTAATTTTTAATCTTGATCTTTCAAATAATAAACATCGAGGAAGCTCTGCTGGCTCATATGGCCCTGTGCTGTTTTAATATATCCAGTTATGCCCACTGCTTTTATCATTCACTTACTTAATAAAAATTTATTGAGTGTCTGAAAATTATTGAGTTATAAAAACCATAAATGTGCTAGAAATCAGGCATATTTAAAATTCAGATACAAAATAAAATAGCAATGTATCTTACTCCTGAAAATTCCCAAGCCAGCAAACACAGGTGGGAGGGAGGGCAATAAGGCTAGGGATGGTCACTGGTACTCTAATAAATAACGTTCCAAATCTGTCTCTTAATTCTTCCTTATTTTTGCCCTTTTTTTCCTTGGGATAACTTCTCTTTAGGGGACAACCTACTCTCTACCTCGGTTCTCATGGTTTCACTTTCAACGTATTTGTGATCCAGAAAAATTTCCCGAAATATAAATTTTTTTCCCACAGTTTTTCCTTTACCTCTCCAGCTTGGTCTTTCATCCCATTCTGAGCTAATAGAAAGAATGTTAAGAGATGTGTAGCGTAGACAAAGGATTGAGGAGGTTGCTTCTTCAATATAAGCATGCCATTCCCACCCTTTGAGGGTAGGATAAAATCCTCAGATAGTTTGTAGGATCCGAAATCAAATGGGCCTATTTCCTAGCTATAGCCTAGTGACAAGGAAGCAACAGGACTCTACAGATGAAAGTATGTCTTGGGAAGAAGTGGACAATTCCTGAGGTCAAAAGTAGCACAGAAGGATCAGAGAAAACTACCAGTCCTGAAAGGCCACTGGATAGGAATAGGGTCGTCACCACAGCAGGTGGCACAAAATCACAACCAAGGACACACGAAAGGATTGATGTTTCAGAGGTTGCCTGTGCAGATACCAGATAAAGCTCTCCCAGTGCCTTGGGACTGTGAAACTTAGGCACAAGCCTAAGGATAAAAAAGGGAATCCCGAATGTCAGCAATTGATATTCTACCACCTAGGTGGATGGTACCTACAATAATGATTTTGGTTGTAGACCAATGGAATAGAACATAGAGCCCAGAAATAAATTCACTTACTTATAGCCTGTATCAACAAAGACACCAAGAATCTACATTGAAGAAAGGAGGGTCTGCTTAATAAATGGTGCTGGGGAAACTGGATATCCATATGCAGAAGAATGAAACCGGATAAATATCTCTAGCCATATACAAGAATCATCTCAAAAAGAATTAAAGACATAAATGGAAGACATGAAACTGCTAAAAAAAAAAACCATTGGGGAACTAGGCAAAGATTTTTTGGAAAGACTTTAGAAGCACGGATAGCAAAAGAAAAAATAGACAAAATGGGATCACATCAAGTTAAAGAGCTTCTGTACAACAAAGGAAACAATCAAAGTGAAGCGATAACCCACAGAATGGGAGAAAATATTTACAAACCATCCATCTGATGAAATATTAATAACTAGAATATATAAGAAATTCAAACAACTCAATAGCAAAAGAACAAATGATCTGATTTAAAAATGGGCAAAAGAGAAGACATACAAATGCCTAACAGGTATATGAAAAAATGCTCAACATAAGCAATCATCAGGGCCATGCAAATTAAAGCCACAATGAGATATCACCTCACCCCAGTTAGAATGCTTATTATCAAAAAGACAAGGAAATAACAAATGTTGTCAAAGATGCAGAGAAAAGGGAACACTTGTCATTGTTGGTTGGAATGCAAAGTAGTACAGTGACTATGGAAAACAGTATGAGGCTCCCCTGAAACCCAAAAGTAGAACTACCCAGCAATCTCATTACTGGGTATATATCAAAAAGAAGGGAAAATAGTAAATCAAGGAGATATCTGCACTCCTGGGTTTACTGTAGCACTATTTCCAATAGCTAATATATGAAATCAATCTAAGTGTCTATCAGTTGATTCATAAATAGAGAAAATACAGTATGTTTACAGA